GGCTCTCATCTCTGGGCTGGCAGGTGAGATGGAGGTGTCCAAGCAGCCGAGGGGGCTCCACAGCCCACCCTGCCCCACGCCGGGCTCAGCCCTGAGCATCTCCCGCAGCACAAACATCCAGAGCTGCAAATCCACCTGCTGGGGTGAAATGGGCTTAAGCAGAATTTTAACTGCTCGGTAACTACAACACTACTGACAGCCTGTGAAGGGCAGGGCCTTGCTTTAGGCACACGTGCTCTGCCCTCTCCGAAAGCCTGTCTCTTTTTAGCCCTCTCAGACCCCACTGATCCTTGCAATCTCTGGTGGCATTGGAAATCTTTTCCCTGCCTGTACATCACAGCCTGTTTGTCCATGTTATTTACTTTTCAACTGCCTGTGCACAGCCAGGACAGAGCCAATATGAGTCTCTTATCAAGATCCTCCTTCCATAAAGGACTTTCCACTGGGCTGGGTTCGCTCAGCTTAATCAGCAACCGAACAATAGGCACCTTGTCATGGAGTGGGGGTGTCACTGCGGGCAGGGGAAGCCCATCAGAAGGATCTTGTGTTATTAGATAAGGATGGAAAATGATTTCCAAAGGATGGGAATTGCCAGGCTGCTCCCTGTGGAGCAGACCCTGGACCTGCTGGGCACGGGAGTCACACTCACAGTGGCGCTTCCAAGCAGCAGCTCTGGGAGTGGTTTGGGCACCTCGACCACGGGGACAAACGCTGGTGGAGTCACCACCCTTGTGAGCCACCAAGCCACGAGCTGCGGTTTTCCCGGGGCTTTGGGAAGCTCCAAAGGCTTCAGCAGCAAAGGCTGATTTTCCCCTCCCAGTGAGATGCAGACCAGCAGCTCTGTGAGCTCCATCTGCCATGGGAACACCATCACTTCCTAGGGGCCTGAGCACGGGGCAGCTGTGGTGCTGTGGTCCTGGTGGCCCTGCATCCCTCATGAGCAAGGGCCCAGGAGTGTCCCCTGCCCTGCTCCCAGCAGGCACCTCCCAGCACCCCGAGCAGCGCTGGGCCTGGGACCCCCAGACACCCCTGCACTCACAGGCAAGGCTGGCAAAGGGCTGGAGCCCACGTGCACCCCCCGAGACTCCAGCTCAGGACTGGTGGAGATATTCTGTCTGAGAGGAGGGAATGAGCACAGGCTCTAACTGAGCAATCTGGGGTGACGGCAGCACTAGGAGGTGCAACCTGCCCCAGGGGAGCAGGCGTGCGGAGGAACGCCTCGTGCCAAAGCCTCTCCTGACACAGCCCAAAGCCCAGCAGAGCCGTGGCCTGATGCTGTCCAACAGCACCCATGCCTGCTGCCCGCCCTGCGCTGCCCAAAAGAGGCTTGTGGAGGCTTGGATGCCACCA